CAGCATCTGCGCCCTCTCCTTTCCGCCCCAACCCGGGTTTGTGCAGTCAGGGCTGTGGTCCCGCCGTCGGGAGGAAGGAAGGGGAGAGGGAAGGAGCCTTTACCTGGCTCTGACGCGACGGGTCCCAGGCCCCCGGGTCCGCTTTCCACTCAGAGTTCTCCTGCCCTCTAGTCCCCGCCACCCGCTCCTACGCAGATTGGTCCCCTAGTCCCCTCCGGAGCCTCCGCCAACTCCGCAGGACCCCGCCGGGAAGCAGGACCCACCCCTTTTGCCAATCACCGCCCGCATTCTATCGACCGATAGGGCCTGTAGCCAATAGGAATAGCTGATCCCGAGAGGCCAGGAATGAGGAGGCGGGACTGGCGAAGCTTGGAGGCGTGACTAGGACTCCCGAGGCGTAGTCACGGGGTATGCTCCTCCCACTGTGGCCGAACCCTAAAGTAGAATTAATGGGCGGGATTAAGTTGGAACCAGCAACCAAACACAAATTCTTGAGAAAAGGTACGACCAATTGGACCGGTGGAGAGGAGGGGCGTTGGGGAGAATTTTAGCCAATAGAGAGTAGAGACCAGAGTGGACTGTAGAACGTCTTCCAATCAGAAGCGCAAAGGGCGTCCTGGCTTTTTCCACTAGAGCCGGAGTAGGCCCGCCCAAACCTCCAGGAGCCCGCCAATGAGGCCGGCGGCGGAGCCACGCTCGGCCAACCAGAAAGCGGAACCGATGTCGGCACCGTTACTGGGGCGGGGCGTACGGTCCCCCCCGCCACTAAGATTGCGTCCGCGGCTTCCGAGCCTTCCAATGCAGGACGTGGGCGAGCTCTAGTTCTCCCAATCGGTGCGCGGCGATGGAAATTCAAACTGACAGCCGGTTTGGAAAGGCAGAGCGAGCGGAAGAGGAGGCAGAAACGACGTGTTCGGTGACCGGGATTCCAAAGTCGACTGAGCCCCCAAAGCGAGCCCCACCACCACCACCGCACGTTCTGGAGCGGCCGCTCCGGGAGAGGCCTGGAGGGAAGGCCGCGGAGAACGGGGGGCACGAGGGGGACGCGAGAGCCCGCACGCTGAGGATTGGGGGCTGCCGCGGGAGAAGCGAAGCCGGGGGCCGGCTGGGACGAGCCGAGCGGCGGAGGTTCGCTGCAGGACTGCGGAGAAGCAGGGACCCTCCCGGTGGGCAGGGCTCAGGGCATTTCCGAACCCTGGGAACCCAGGGCATTTCCTGGAAGAGGCGTGCGTAGGGAGATCGCCCGGGACCCGACAAATAGGAATTGGAGCTCTCGGGGGGAGGGGCTTGGGAGAGGAAAAGCTTTAAATGCGAGGGAATTGCTGAAGGAGGGGGAGCCGGAGGAGAAAATCCCTGTAGACGGGAGGAAGGGAAAACGGCAGACAAGTTCCCGAGGCCCCTAGCAGCTTGTCCCCCTCCCCCGCCCACTTCAAACCTCTCCCCCTTCCCGGAAAGTTCAAAGGATAAAGCCAAAACTGCTGCTGCTCTCTCCTGTTCCTGCTCAATAAATATTACTTTTACCGTCCCCGGGGAAAAAAAAAAAGAACTAATTCTCCTTCCCAATTTTAGGGCTCAGAAAAGCTCGAGGCCTCGCCATTTTATTTTTAGCCCCGGGGGAATCCACCTAGGAAGGGTCTTGCTCTTTGGTTGCATTTTTTCAAATCCCACGCCACATCCTTGCCCGGGACGCCATGTCTACCAGCAGCTGTAGCTTCCAGGACCGGTGCGTGTCCATCCTGTCTTGCAAATTCTGTAAACAAGTGCTCAGCTCTCGGGGCATGAAGGCTGTTTTGCTGGCCGACACCGACATAGACCTTTTCTCTACAGACATCCCTCCTACCAAGTAAGTCATTTGCCGGTGGCGGGCAGCGGACGGTAGCCTTTAACTAAATGGGAAGATGTTAGGGCTTGGACCTCGGAGTCAACCAGTGGATTATCATTTTGGTGTCCCAGCCACTCCCACCAGCCTGATGATCCCCTTGGCGTATAACTAAAATGGGCAGACTGTCTGGACAAAGTCTGTGGTTTAGCCGCAGTGGTCAGTCCTGATGTAATGCTCCTAGTCATGTGACCACACCCCTGAAGCTGGATCCCTGGCCCTAGGGCCCCGCCCAGCTATCCTTCTCACTGGATCAAGGCCATGACCTAGAGACTCTAGGAAATTCAAGCAAGCTTTTTTGTACTGTTGGAAAGGTCAAGTTTTTCATTTTTTTAAAAGATATTTTTATTGATTTCAGAGAGGAAGAGAGAGATTGAAATATCAATGATGAGAATCATCGATTGGCTGCCTCCTGCACACACTCCCCACTGGGAATTGAGCCTGTAACCTAGGCATGTGCCCTTGACCGGAATCGAACCCGGGACCCTTTAGTCCCCAGGCTGCCGCTCTATCCACTGAGCCAAATCAGCTAGGGCACGTTTTTCATTTTTATCCATCGTTTTACACCCCCCAAAAAATTCATAGTTTTCTACCATTATTTGCGACTGGCATGCTTATTCCATTGTCCTTATAATTCAGTATTCTTTTCTCAAAAATCTCCTTTTCGGAGAAAGACTTAGGTTTGAATGGGATGAAATAAAGACTTACCCTTAAAGAACCCTTGTCTTCCCATAATGCCTATTTTGGATATCATGCATTCACTTGTGTAATTCAATCCTCTTTAACTGTTTTCAGTCACTACCCACTTTTGGGTATAGTAGAATCCTTAAGAATTTGCTTCCTACTTGGAAAAATAACCATTTTATTTGACTCAAATATATCTTTTTCTAGCTCTAAAAAGTACTCTCTCTCTCCGTGGTCAACATAGCCCTTAAATGATTTTAAAGATTTAGCTCTTTATTGAATCTTTATCATTAAAGTGAAAGAATGATTATCCATAATATGGATGAATAAGTAAGTATTCTTTGGACACAGCCAGAGGAGGCAGGCTAATAGTTATAATAATTTAAAGTGAATTTCATGATAATAATAGAAACTTAAAAACATTTTTTTAGCCTGCCTGGCGTGGCTCAGTGGTTAGTGTGAACACATGAACCAGGAGGCCATGGTCCAATTCTCAGTCAGGGCACATGCCCGGTTGCAGGCTCAATCCCCAGTGTGGAACTTGCAAGAGGCAGCAGATCAGTGATTCTCTCTCATCACTGATGTTTCTATCTCTCTCTCTCTCCCTCTCCCTTCCTCTCTAAAATCAATAAAAACATTTTTTAAAAAAGAAAAAATAGTATAGTGAAAGTCGTGAAATTTTCCTGAATTGGTTCAAGAATAGTCATGCCTGATGACAACGTTACGTATTGCAAATATAAATGGGTTAATATTTAAGTATGCGTGTGTGTGTGTGTGTGTGTGTGTGTGTGTGTGTGTAAAGAAAAATCACTAGACAATAAATCTGGAACCTACTATTGCAAAGGTCCTATGATTAAAATATTAACTCATTTTTACAATAGCTATGGTAAGTGATGAGACAGTCATAAGAAGGTTCATTATTAGAGGTTAGATAAGAGTCTAGAATAGAGTTGGATCTTTCCTATTGTCTATGCTTCCTTGTAGGAGTTATGAGTATGGATTAATGTTTGAAAATCAATGAGCACATAAGGTTTTTAAATGGAAGTTTTGTCATTATGTTGAGCTCACAAATATTAACTGACTCTTACAAAATATACTATAGTTCTATTTCAGACTCACTTTTAGCTCTTCGGGCCTATAAAATTCATCCTAAATCACAATCAAAAGTACATTTGATAGCAAGGACATAGAAAAATTGGAACCCTTGTGCACGGTTGGTGCTAATGTAATATAGGGCCTCTGCTATGGAAAAGCGTAACAGTTCCTCAAAAATTGAAAATAGAATTACCATATGATCAGCAATCCCGCTTCTGGGTATATATCCAACAAAATTCAGTGCGGGACCTAGAAGAGATATGTGCACAGCCATGTTCTTCGCAGCATTATTCACAAAAACCCAAATGTCTGTCAATAGCTGAGTGAATAAACAAAATAAGATATATGCATACAATGAAATATTATCCAGCCTATCACATACTACAATATGGATGGACCTTGAGGACATTAGGCTAAGTGAAAATAAGCCAGTCTCAAAAAGACAAATACTATATGATTCTACTTATATGTGGTATCTAAAGCAGTCAAATTCATAGGAACAGAAAGTTGAATGATGATTGCCAGGGGCTCGGGGAGAGGGAAATGGGGAATTGTTTAATGGGCATAGAGTTTTAATTTTATAAAATGAAAAGGGTCTGGAGATTTGTTGTACAACAATGTGAATATACTTTACAGTTTTGAACTATACACTAAAAATGGTTAATTAATAAATTTTATGTTATATACATCTAGCAATTTAAAAAACGTACATTTGACTATCTCTACACTTTTCTTTCTTCAGCACAGTGGACTTAATAGGAAGATGCTATTATACAGAAATCTGCAAGTGTAAACTGAAGGACATCGCATGTTTAAAATGGTATCTATGACAATATTCTAAATAGCCCTGGGTTTGAGAGATGGATGTTGACACCAAAGCAGACACAAGGTTCAGTGGACTGCATCGAGCACTGGTTATAACCCTTGCAATGAGCCATTGCAAGTTGCATATGGAATTTAAAATTTTTCATTTGTTACTAAGAGCTATTTTTTAAAGGGCCTGTGGCACTTTAAATTTGTATATGATTTTACAATTTCTCAAAGTTCATTGACAAATATCTGCTTTAATTTTTAGAAAAAGGCAAGTAGTTTGCGGGGGGGGGGGGGA